AACGAACATTTTGATGTAATAACTGTTCGATTTGGTTAGAAATGTAACACAATTTACATATCACGAAGTAAAAAAAAGGCATAAAATCATATAATGTCATTTGCTATGATCGACATGCGACATGTCCGGTGACTGATAAGGTGCATCGACAAAAAATATTACTGTGCCGCACATTATATTTACAAATAGATTATATAAATCAAAAACTTCCCGTTATGCAGGAGTGCGTCAGAAATGCCCCAAATCCCCAACATATCCCCACAGGCTTTTGGTGTTACTTTTGATAGTTTATCAATGACATCAATGACAAATTCCCACTCCCATATACAAAGCATTTCTTTTTTGAAAATACCAAAAATAAAAAAGTATAAAAGTGCTCTGAATTCTATCAAAAAAAAACGTGTTGTTTTTGTAGTTCCATTAATTTTTTTTTAAATAATTTACGTGACTTAATATGTCTTCTATTTTTGACGGTTGTTATATTACATTTTCTGGTGTGTTTACCGAAGGTAACCATACGCACCTCACTTCCATTATTATTAAACATGGCGGAAATGTTGTTCAAAATTTATCCAAAAAATCTACTCATTTAATAGTCAATGAAGAAGACTATAAAAAGGGAAATTCAAAGGTCTTCCTTGCTAAAAATAAATTTGCTGATCAAGTATCAATTGTTACTTGGAAATGGGTAGAAGCTTCTATTGAGAAAAATGTAAAATTGGATGTATCAGATTATGTTCCATCAGATGATACTGAGGATACTGATATGGATGACGCGAACGAGAACTCTATTGTAACTGGAAAACGTAATAAAGATGATGAGGAAAATGATCAAGTTGATGATGTCAGGCCTTCGCGAAAACGTAGACGAACTGCTAAAAATGATAATGATAATGATATGTCTCAGATTTCAACCACAGATGTTGCTACAACTAATATCGTCTCTACGACCTCGACTTCTTCGAAAAAGAGAAAAGGGAAGAAAACTGATAAAACTACTAAGGGTTCTATTAATAATCAAGATCCGAATGATAGCGATCAGGATGACAAAGTTGCCAAAGTTGCGGTAACACATATTGTCGAGGAGAAAAAGATGGTTAAAGTTGTGATTAAGGGTCAAGCACCTGTTGATGAAACATTCTTTATGAAGAATTCTGTACATGTTTATGCTGATGATGAAGCTATTTGGGATGCTCTTCTTAACTTAACTAATATTAGTAATAACAATAATAAATATTTCGTAATTCAACTTTTACAAACCGACTCTCTTGATGGATACTACGTGTTTTGCAAATGGGGAAGAGTAGGATATGGTTCTAAAGGTCAATCAACTACTTTTGGTCCAACAACAATATTGGATAATGCAAAAATTGAATTCTCCAAAAAATTTAAAGAAAAAACTGGTAATGATTGGTCTATCGTATGCAAGGATATCTCTAAATTTGTTCCAAAGAATAATAAATATACTTTTTTAAACCGCGACTATACCTTGGATGATGAGGATAAAAATGATGAGAGTCAAAATAAAAAGAAAGCTAAGAATAAAGAAAAGGAAGAACCTATACCTATTCCAGAATCTAATCTTCATCCAAAAGTTCAAGATATCATGCAAATGATATTTGGTAAGTTACAAAGTTAATTTATGTTAATGGTAAGTTATTTATCACTAATTATTAAATTTTCTAAATTATAGACGTTAATCAATGGAAAGAGTCAATGAAGGAATTAGAATATGGTAAGTATCAACAATAATATTTTAACTTAAATTCATTAATTAACACAGAAAATTTTTTAGATGCTGCAAAATTACCTTTGGGTAAAATTGCAAAAAGTACTATTAACCAAGGATATAGTGTACTTAAACGAATTGAAGCCGTGGTTATGGGAAATTCTATCGAAAGTCTGGAAGAATTGTCTAATGAATTTTACACTGTAATCCCACACTCATTTGGCATGCGAAAACCACCTATCATTAATAACATAAACTTACTCAAAGCTAAAATGGATATGGTTGAAATATTGGGAGAAATTGAAATAGCTTCTACTTTGATTAAAGGATGTGATGAAGCTATCAATCCATTGGATGCTCATTATAAATCTCTTAGATTAGGAAGAATGGAGCCTTTGGATCATAATTCTTTAGAATTCAAAATGGTGGTCGATTATGTTAAGAATACACATGGAGCTACACATAATCATTTTAAACTTGAGGTTATGGAAGTGTTTGATTTGGAACGTCAAGGTGAAAGAGAAAGGTTCGAGCCATATTCCAAATTGCAAAACCGAGCTTTATTATGGCACGGAAGCCGTAAAACTAATTTTGCTGGCATCTTAAGCCAAGGATTACGCATTGCGCCTCCGAGTGCTCCTGTTTCTGGTTATATGTTTGGGAAAGGTGTTTATTTCGCAGATTCCGTATCAAAATCTGCTCAATACGTTAATAATACTAGTAGAGATAACATTGGCCTCATGCTTCTCAACGAGGTTGCTTTGGGAAATATGCTTGAGCTGGACTCTGCAGATTTTGATGCAGGAATAAAAGCGAAGAAAGCAAATTTTCATTCTGTTAAAGGTTGTGGAAAGAATGTTCCTGATATGAAATGCTTCATTAAGCTGAATAATGGTTGCATTGTACCAAACGGAAAATTACAAGAACAACATAGTGATAAATATCTTTACTACAATGAATATATCGTTTATGATGAAGCTCAAATTATGCAGAAATATTTGATCAAGATGAAGTTTCATTAATTGATTAGTATTATGTTCGTAACTGTCTTTTGTATTAACAAATACAATATCACAAATAAATCTTTTAAATCTTTGGAATTTGCATAATATATATTTTGTATTATCCAATTAAATTGTCCGAATAATAAACACTAATTTCTTTAGCGAATTATCATTTAATTAACTATTTAAGTATGACAATTTTTAAGTTAAATAATTTATCAAAAAAAAAAAAGTTTTTTAAAAGTTCTTCCTTTTTACTGCGAAACGCCTATATTTCAAGATATTTAAAAAGGTCATATAAATAAATTTTAATACATTAATAGAATATGGATTTATAAAAAAGTATTTATTTATACTTTATTTTTTTTTTTTAATAAAAATAATATAATTTTTTTTATAGCAATATCTTATCATAATTATTCATTTAATCAATCATCATTATTATTATAGTAAATCCAAAAAATAATAAATAAAAATAAATAACATTTTTCAAAAAAAAAAAAAAAAATAGATTTTTTCTTTAAATAATTATCTTAAGTTATTTTTATTATAATTAGATCTAAAATAAAATCTTATTTTAATAAAATATATAACTTAAATAAATAATATTAAATATATAAATTTTATTAAATTAAAGAATCTGTTATAATGATTTATATAAAGTATTAAAATCTTTTATTTAAAACTTTATATAAATTAAGCTAACTTATAAGCTTCATAAGCTAGCTTAGCTATTATAAAATAACTTATCACAAGTCAAATACTGATCAATCAGGTATCTTTCTGATTAATCACTATTTTTTAATCAGCAATAGATAGAAATCAAATTATTAGGTAGAATTACATAAATCAGTTTCTAATCTGATTTTATTCTTATTTTTAAAAATTTATAACTATATGTTAAATAGTAACAAATCAGGTTCAATTAATAATTAGTTATTAATCAGTTTAATACCTGATTGATAATTATTATTCAATTAGAATTTACCAATTGGTTTAATATTAATGAATTTACTGATTGTTTCCAATTTATAAATTATTTAATCTACTGATTGTTTTCAATTTATAAAATTATTTAATTTACTGATTGTTTTCAATTTATTTTTCTGATTGTTTCAAATTTATAAATTTATTAAAGTATTCTGATTGTTACAAATTTATTTAATAAGATACAATTAAATTACAAATGAAATTGTCTATTACAGCTAATTTTATAATATAGACCACTAATAAATTGCGAATGAATGCGACTGAAAATATTTTATAATAAAATTATTATAAAATATTGCGACTAAATGCGACTGAAAAATTATTAATTATAAATTATGAAATTAGCTGTAATAGGTATGACTGCTATATATTTTTTTAGTTTTCATACACTAACTATAAATTCACTTAGTATAAATTGACTATATATATTATGAACTGAGATAATATTATTTCTATCAATCTTATAGAATTTATTTTTCTAAAGCTCAATATTATATAATTTTTCTTCAACATTAGATTTACAATGAAATCTTATTTGTTAGTTAGGAATTGGTAAATTCTATTTTACAAATACTAAATGATGTATTATTATACCTATTGAAAGGCCAAGTGAATTTTCAAAATAGTATTGTACTTCACCAGAAAATATATTTGTCATCTCATCGCTTTATATAAATTTTACCAATATATGTGAATTCCTCATATATCAGGATGCAATTGTTGCTCTAAAGATTTTGGATTAAATCCTAATATAGTTATATTAATTAACATATGGTAAAATGATAGTGAGATCTTTTGTTGATATCTCAGAAATCACATCTGCTATTGTTACAAACTTCCTATTATATGCATTATTATAATATTGAACTAATAATTTATAAATATTATCTGATAAAGACACATGTTCTTTTTTTGAAGAAAGTATTTATTCTAGAAATAGCTTATTATTGATAACAGTTTTATTAAGATGATAAAGATTTATACAAATCAATATAATTCTATAAAATCCAATTCATCATATGATGCTAAATTTCCAGCTTTTGAACAAGACTTTACCAATTCAAGAGATTGTACCTAAAGATGGTAACAACAATTATTTTATTATGTTATAACATTATTAACTTAATTAACTGCATATTGCAATTAATTGCAATTATTATAGTGAATAACAATTAGTTGCAATTATTATAGTGGATAACAATTAGTTGCAATTATTATAGGGAACAGCAATTAGTTGCAATTATTACAGAAAGCAGCAATTAGTTACAATTATTACAGAAAATCACAATTAGTTATAATTAATATGATTAATTATAACTTAAATTCTATTGTAACAATATATTGCAACATAGTGTTATAACAATCAGTATTAGGAAATGATCAGGTCATATCACTATTTCTAGATGACCATCGGTCATAAGTCATAAGGTCATAAATTTTATGGCCAAACGATATGATCTTTATGACTGCAGGTCATAAAATTGTGACCTTGGTCATTAGTTCATTTGGTATATAGTCTATGAGTTTAGAACTGATATTTGACATTCCAGAAGTCTAAAAATAAAAAAGGAATAGACATTAACAAGGAAACTATTTAAAAATTCCAAATTGCTGCAGAAGATTAAACAATAAAATAAAATTATCAAAAAAAAGATACGCGAATATTGATCTTGTATAACATATCATCATTATAAGATACAATAGTGATAATTTTTTTATTTTTAAAATATAACGAAATTTTTTTTTATAAATTATGACTAAACAAAAGAGGAGTCATAACTTTTGGAAATTTTTTACTTTAGTAAAAAATGATAATAACAAATCAAATGCCAAAGTTGTGTGTATTTGTTGTAGTCAAAAAACCATTAGAGGTTTAGCTATTGCACAGGTAACATTCGGGTATTTTACCTCTAATAAAGCAAGATTTTGTCAGAATCACCTTGCAAACTGTGAAAACTTTAGAAATTTATATAGCAAAAAGGAAATTACTGATATTTTGTCCTATTCTATTCCTGAAGACTTTAAAAAAAAAGTAAAAATTGTAATGAAGATAAATTTAATAGAAAATATATTTATTAATGTTAACTGCTGTCACTAATTTATTATTAATGTATAATTTAGCTATATCTGATGATGAAAAAGAGGAGGAAGAAGAAGGAGAGAAAGAAGGAGAAGAGGAAGGAGGGAAGGAAGAAAGAAAAGATTTTAATTTACAAAATCTGTCAAAAAGACGAAAAGCATTTCAACAACTTCATCATCTTCTTCTTCACTTTTCAAACAATAATCCATCACATCCTATTGTGCTCGACTAATGTCTATTAATGATAGACTAACATTTGAGTTTCTACTTCTTCGTATGATCGTATCTAATGGCTTACCGTTTACCTTTCTGGAAAATAAAGATACACAAGCTATTTTTAATTTCATTTTGCCAGATTTTAATTACCAAATCGTAAAGCAATTAGTGGTAGAGTTTTAAAAAAAGTGCTAATACTCTAAAAAAAAATATTACAAGTATTACAAAAAAAGATATCGATAGCGTTACTGCAATGTTTGACAAGTAGACTAATGTTAAAGCAGAGCATATTTGGAAGGTCATTTTATTAATATCACAAGGTCAACCTCTTATTTGGGATACTTATGATATTAGTGGAGAAGCTTCTCAAACTGAAAATGTAATTCAACACATTAAAAATTTAATGTTTGAAACAAATAATGAGGGAATAAATATAAAAGCTTTTATATCTGATTCTGCAAATGAATATACTGCAGCATGATAATTTTTTTAAATTATCTAATTACCTGTTTTTTTCTTTAGAAAAAATTATTTATTTTTAATTATCTTAAAAATTATGGTTTAGTAAATAATTAAGAAAGGAATATCTGAACTAAATGTTTCTTCCATGCATGGCACATTATTTTTGGTGATATTTTTAAAGAAAATGCTTAATATAGACGTACTTCTATTGAAGCTATGCGAATAGTTAATTATTTTCATAAATCTCCATATTTTACTGAAAATTTAAGGGATGAATAAACTTGAATTTACAATAAAATTATATCATTGCTATCTCCTAAAGATACCAGATAGATCAGATGGAACAGTTATTATTTTTGCTTTCATTCTATTTTAAAAACTAAAATCGCATTAAAGGTAATATTTTTAAATTTTATTAAATTATTGTTATAAAATTAGTTAATTTAATTAATTAATTACCTATTCAAAATAGTTTATTTCAGCAAAATTCAATGAACATTGATCAAATGTATTCGTACAAATAGTATTCCAAATGTAATACTAAATAATACTTCAAAAAAATTAATTGTGAATGAAAATTACCTGATGATATTGCAGATATCATTAATGATAATGATTTTTGGTTAACTCTTTTAGAACTTCAACAT